AACGTCGTAAAATTTTCGGTCTAATAGACTATCTTTCAGGACATATTCATAAAACATAATAACTTTGATCCTTATGTCTTCAAGATGGTCTATTAGACCGAAACGTCCGACGTTGACATTATATTAACATTAAAACAGTATAATTGTATATTATGATTTTTGTTTGTTTTTTTTCATATATTTTTCTTACATTCGATATATATCCATATATTTGCTTTTTATATATATATATATATATATATATATATATATATATATATATATATATATATGAACTCTATGGCATACCTTTGTTGATATTTTGAAGATTAAACATTGTACAAAGGTGAAAACTGGTACACGGAAAGATTCTAAGTTGCTTGTTGCATTATCTTAAATTGACATTTTTGTACGCCTGCAATAATGTGTGACGAATTAAAAAAAAAAAAAAAAACTTTTAAACACATAACTTAACGTATGTAGCTTATCAATATGATTGAAATTTTCACTCCATACTTATCTACTTAGAATCTTGCAGTGAAACCAAGTTCACTTTTGTACAATGTTTAATATTCAAACTATCGAGAAAAATGTCATCTGCAATAAAAGCGTGATACACACTCTCTCTAAGGTTCTCTATATATATATATATATATATATATATATATATATGTGTGTGTGTGTGTGTGTATGTGTGTTTCTATGGATATAGATACACATATGTATATATATTTACAGTTTAAATATATTTACTTATAATATATATATATATATATATATATATATATATATATATATATATATATATATAAATATAAGTATATGATTACTGCATATGGAATAAATTCCAATAACCAACAATTACTATTCTTAAAAAAGTGCTCAATACAGAGTAGAGCAGATATAAAAAATTATAACATAAATATATTATAAAATCACTAATTATTTATGTTATAATTTTTAAATAAATAATTATATATATATATATATAATTGTTTTAAAAATATGATTCTATCGTTACACAGGAATTATCATATTTCAAAAACAGAAGTTAAAAGTTTCCAATTCAATTATAGAAATTAAATTAAATTAAAATACCTAGAATAAGACGCATATGAATACGACGTATTCATATACAAACATCCCTTTTAGAAAAATATTTTTATGTATACAAGTACAAATTTACCGGCGAAACAAAAGTGCTGTAAAATTTTCTGTCGTTGAAAAAGACCAGACGACATGCGTTGAACGGATGTCATCATTCGTTTGAAAAAAGGTATCCCGACCCTACCTTGATTTAACCTCTTTTCGAAAGTAACTAATATGTTAATACAATAGTTGTCAGTGAAAATGAATACCCTACCGGCCCTTATTAAAATGATTGGTTTTCTCCATATCCATAGAAACTAATATTATGAATATGCGTGCTTATGAAGCTCCGTAAATTTCAAAATAAGTTATTCTAAAATTCGCTTGAAAATAAAACAAAACTAGGTACTTTAATTTAATTTCTATAATTGAATTCGAAGTTTTTAGCTTCTCTTTTTGAAACATGGTAATTCCTGTGTAGGGATGGAATCATATTTTAAAAAAAAAATCAAAATCTAGGCTGTACTTGTGTATCGAGCACTGTTTTTTTTAAAAATAAAAACAAAAATACTAAAGAACTTCGGACCATCAATCTAACGGTTCTTTCCTATTTTATCAATATACTTGCACATACACACACACACACACACACACACACACACACATATATATATATATATATATAAAGAAATATAGATTTAAGGTGTGCTATGTTTATTGGAGAAAGTGCTCAATATAGAGCGTATGTAGATATAAAATGAACATTGAAGTCAAACATGAAACAGCTTGTCGCCCCTGTGTGTTGACTTCAATGTTCACTATATATATATATATATATATATATATATATATATATATATATATATATATATATGTGTGTGTGTGTGTGTGGAATCTGCTTATTTTCAGACCGGAGAAAGGGCACTCAACGCCATATAATCTGGCAAAGTCATAATATTTCTCAATACATTCCCGGCGAACGGTGGCCAACCACGACTAAAGGTTTCACACATTCCCATGCAATCATCAGGGGGTCGGCATTAATTATTTGGGAAAGTGGGCCCTTTATGCATGTTGGGATAGTTCAAGATGCTAAAAGCGTAGTTAATGCGTACATACCATGCTCACACAACCCAAACCCACCGAGGGAGAGATGCCCATCTGACCATAACAGAAAAGCCGAAAAATCACCCCCCACACACAAAAAATACCCCAGATAAAGCTAAAAGGTATACCTTGAAAATCCTCGACCTTATGGGAATAGTAGCACCTGAAAAAGGAGCATAGTGCTAAAAGCAAAAGTGTACTTAACATCACAGCACCGTCAAAGTCATCTCAATAATTAAATAAATAATAAAAAAAATATATCGTATATTCTTACTTCTTGGTTTAAACTATGGCAAATTTTCATTAAAAGCAGCCGATGAAAAGAGAAAGTTAAATAAAATCTGTAGCGTCGAAAAAGTTACAGACAAAAAAAAAAAAAAGAGTAACATCAAAAATGAGAGAAGTTGTCACATATTTACAGGCGATTTTTCAAAGAAAACAAAAGTAATTGTTCCCAGCAGAATATGGCGACGTTGTAATATAAATAAATATACATTATTCGTCTGCAGCTTTGTTTTTCGAAGTTATCAGCATGAGGAATCCTGGCGTAAGAAAAAAAAATAATAAGAACAACAAGAAAGGATAAAGAAAGTTATAGGAGAAAGAAAAAAAAAAGCACTTATAAAAAGTTTATATATATTCGCGTGACCGGATCACGTGATTTGCTTTCATTGGATTACGCTTAACATTGACGTGTACCTTACGAGGTCAAGCCACTCAGCTGAAAACATGATTACAATTGTCTGTGTGTCTCTCTTTCCTTTCTTTTTTCTTTTGTGCTTTGCGTTCTTCTCTCAAAATCAACACTTCATTCCTTTATTTTTCAATCTCACTTTTTTTTTATTTTCATTTTGATTTTTTTTGTATTCACCTTCAGTTGTGATAGGCATTTTCCTTTTAGAGTTAGCATCGGCCTTATTCAGAAAGAAGACACGAACATTTTGGGAATTGATTATATTTTTTTCGGTTTTAGCGATTTACATTATTCTTAATCATCTCAATATGAATTCTTCTTCTTTATTTTTTGTTTCTTCTTCGTCTTCTTCTTCTTCTTCTTCTTCTTCTTCTTCTTTCTTCTTCTTCTTCTTCAGTTGTCTTTTTTCTTCTCATAATCCGTCTCCTTTTCTTATTCTTCTTTATCCGTCTCCTTTTCTTTTCTCTTCTTAATCTACCTTCTTCTTCTTTATTAGTCGTCTTCTTTTCTTCACTTTATCTTTCCGTCCTCCTCCTCCTCCTTCTTCTTCTTCTTCTTCTGCTTATTTTCCATCCGACGTCGTCGTCTTCTTCTTGTTCTTCTTCTTGTTCTTCTTGTTCTTCTTGTTCTTCTTCTTCTTCTTCTTCTTCTTCTTCTTCAGTTGTCTTTTTTTCTTCTCGTAATCCGCCTCCTTTTCTTATTCTTCTGTATCCGTCTTCTTTTCTTTTCTCTTCTTAATCTACCTTCTTCTTCATCATCAGCCGTCTTCTTTTCTTCACTTAACCCTCCTCCTCCCCCTTCTTTCTCATTCCGTTTTTCTTCGTTCTATCTATCTTCTTTGTATTTAAACATTCTTATTCAATACCTTCTTCTTCTTCTTCATCATCATCATCATCATCATCATCATCTTCTTCTTCTTCTTCTTCTTCTTCATTATCCATCCATCTTTATTTTCTTTATCCTCTTCTCTTTCATTATCCCATTTTCTTCTTTATTTTTTCTGTCTTTATATTCTAGACAAAAAACTCTTACTCAACACCTCCCCTTCTTCTTCATCCTCCGCCTCTTCCTCCTCCTCCATCTTCTTCTTCTTCTTCTTCTTCTTCTTCTTCTTCTTCTTCTTCTTCTTCTTCTATTCTCTCACCCCCCCACTTTTTTTTTTATTCATTGTTGATTTTTACAGATCCTGTCTCCTTCCTAGAGATTATCCACGCTGGCGCCAGTGTCAGATATGTCACGCATGCACGTGTTCTATCACACTAAAAACGATTATTGACACAATCTCTGTCCATACGCCCCGGCTCCCCACCCCGCTTATCTCTTGTTACCTTTGTCAAAAACAACCTTATACATCCTATTAACCCTGGCTGTTACCAACGTCCCTCACCTTGTCTCTGAATTCTTCAGTTATTCTTTTTAATTTACCACATTCTTTTCCACAAACAACACAGCTAACACTAACATTAAGGACATCAACATAACCATCACATTGATGTCAAGGTTGTAAATGGCGGTTACAGTACTATCTTTTTACTGCCCAAACTAGTGAGGTAGTCATGGCCCGCGCTTTTTTCTCTTCAGGACGTAGGCAATCATGGCTTTTGGCAGTTTGCTATCTCTTATAGATTGATTGATTTATTTTTAAGGCTTATCAGCCCTTTGCAGTTTATTGAAAGCCAGAAAATATTTTTAGATAGTAAGGATGTTTTAGAGATAATAATGGTGCTGTGATACAAGTCTCATTAATTAACCCATAGCTGAGGGGAGAATAGTGATTTTCCAAGCGTAGCTCAGATGTGGCAGAAGGCCGAAATTATGGGGTATTCAGTGAGGATCGAACTCACTATTCAGTAGTAATTGTCCTAGCGAGACAAGCCTGCTAACCATTGCAACACCTCGAGGTGCCCAGTCGAGGGGAGAACAGGCGGATTCATACCTTTCCCACGGGTATTTGAGCGTAAGTGAATATAACGATCCTAACTGGAATTCGAACTCCGCTCTCCGATTAACAATTCCGAGCCATTATCCATTACACCACCCGCACATCTAAGCTTACAGCACTGGGTATTCCTAAGTGGTTACCTTACTGATAAGGCTCTATATTGCTTAACGTTGGCGATACTATATGCCCCCCCCCTTGTAACTCATACATATGTTTGTCTTTTTACTATTCCTTTGACTTCCTGTCATTCATTCACACAAGCTTGTCATCTTGGTGGGTCGCTACACACCACCCTGTACTGTGGCTTCCCAATTTGTTTCAATTTTATTTAAGACCTCTTAGTTGCTTACGCGCTCAGTCCGTGATATTCTCAGTATCCTTCTGTAGAACCGCAGTTCTGTTACCTCCGATCTTCTCTTCATCTGTGGCGAAATTGTCTAGCATTCATTGCCATACAAGAGGTTTGATATTACATAACAGTTTAGCACTGTTTTATTTGGCAAACCTCTAACCCTTTGTTCCACCATCCGTCCTCACAAGCTGATCAGGTAAACGGCCCGCTGTCTTCCCCTGTCTTTTTGCCCTCAATATGTGTTGTAGAGTAGTTTTCACAGTGGAGGCTTGTATTTCACTAAGTCGGTCCTAAATTAGGTTCGACATACAAAACGTTAGGAACTTGAAATAATAATCAACTGACTCACTTAACACCACTGAGCCCAACTGGCGACCGCTACTACTACTACTACTAATTATTATGTGTGGGAGAGTCTATTACAATAGAATAGGTAATGTTCTGCTATAAAACAGACCAAAATGTTACTGAAGCTTCTTATATCGCAGAACCGGAGATAGCAAAGCAGAAAAAAAGCACATACCTTTGGAAAAACATTGATCAAACTTTGCTCTCTCAAAATGATAGAAATTTTATTGGCAAATGGATTGTAAACAACAAAAAAAAAAACAAAAAACAAACAAAAAACAAAAAACTTACAGCGGTTCCAATATCAAATATTACTGTCCAAAGGAGTTGTGCAGGAGATCAAGTCTGTAGCCTTTGATTTATTTTCAGTTTGTCTCGATGAATCGGCTGTGGCATCGTGTTTCCAAGTGACAGTCTTTCCAAGGTATGTTTTATTTAAAGAGAAATTTATCTTTTATTCCCCACTTGAAAGAGCTACCAAGCCCTCTGATATTTTTTCGAAAGGTTTCATCTTTACGTGAATCAGAAAATCTTTTGTGGGATGATATATGTAGATGCTGTATAGATGAAGCTCAATGTTAGGAACAAAATCAGGATTTCAAGTTTGTTTGAAAGAGCGAGTTCCAAAAGTGAAGGCATTGTATGATCTATTGTCAGGTACTGACATCAAAAATAAATTTCCATCTCCCCTGGGGAAGGTTTTAAATCAAACTGTTCAGATTGTGAATTTTGTCAAAAGCAGAGCTCTCAAGCAGTGACATAGATGCAAGCCATCGTTTGCTTCTTTTCCACACAAATCTTGGATGGCTCTCAACAAGGAATGTAATTGAGCGAAGCTCAGAAGTTGATTTTTTTTTTGAAAGATTTTTTGTCTGTCAGGATTATGAGGAATGGATCAAGCATCTTGCCTATTTGGTTGATACTTTGGAGCAGATGAATAAACCGAATTTTCAGATGCAAGCAAGAAATACAAACATCATAAAATTCTTGGATTTCTTCAAAACTTTCACGAGCAAACTGGGAAATTGCAAGAGATAGGTTAATCCCAAAAATGTTGCAATATTTGAGAATCTGTCATCCCTGAGAAGTGTGCACTCGTGCGAAGAGGAAGCCGGCAAGCCGAACACCCCGAGCCAAATGCTCTTTCTACCGCGAATGTCGTCGTGCTCTGAAACATCTGTTACGGGTGTCGGATGGCCTCTCCAACGCCCAGGCGTTGTTTCGTAAGGCATTGTATCAAGTGTTAGTCAGGGGTGGGGGGCGTTCGTGATGATCTAATTGCTGAGCTCGGTCTTACGAAGCAGGATGCTCGCTCAGTATTGCCTTGAGCGCCTGGGTTGAAATGCCTCCATAACGATGAGTCATGGTGATTCGTGGGGCCCTCTGGTTCGCCAAAAAACATTGTTCAGCTGGGATGGCGAAGACCTACCAGAGTTTGCAAGCAATTAAATTTTGAAGGATCTGACAGCACTGGGAAATTAATTCTGTCGATATTCCCTTGAATTCGGTGATAATAAGTTGGCTTTCGTGTGAAATCCATTCAAATTGTGAGATGAAAAAGTTCCTGATGATTGTCAAGATGAATTTCTGGAGCGAAACTGATTCCGGAGAAAGAGGAATCAATCACAGCATTTTGGATGTGAGATTCTTCGCGAAAAGTGGCAGCAAACCATGCACTGTTTCTATTTATTTCAACATTTCTTTGTGAGTCAGGCTTTTCAAATTCAGGCTTTTCTGTTGCAAATTAAAACGAAACTACGTCGTAGATTAGAGGGTGAAAATAGCCTGTTTTTGGAACCAACTCCCTAGAGAATGATCTTAACGTATCAATTCTAGGGTTAGCCGTTACATTCCCGACATCACAACATAAACTGTATCTCTTACTCTTTAACCCTCTACCTCGAGTGGCTCTTGGACCTTTTACAGCGTGAACATCATTGTAAAGAAAAACAAAAATAACTACGAAATTTATTTAAGAATGGCATTATTTGTATTTAAAAAAAAATCTTTGCATCCGAAACAAGGCAATAATGCCACTAAGACGCAACGGGTTAATTGGAGTGGAAGAGAACGAAAAGACGTTAGTGATTTGGAAGAACACATTCCGAAAGAGAGAGTATGGCGATTGGCGTTGTATTTTTTATTTTTTAAAGATTATAGGTGGTACGGAAGCAAGAAATCTGAAAGCACTTCCAGAGGCGGGTACTACCAGAAAAAAATCTATTAGAATAAAATATACAGTTGCATCTGGCTAGTTCAAGAGTGAGACCTAATTGCCAGTCTAGTAGCACGTTTAAATTCATATAGTCGAAACACCAAGAAAGAAAGATAATTATAAGATAAAATATTTATAGAAAAGTTAGAGTGAAGACACGTCAGGACCGATAAAAATATAGGCTCGTCTCTTGGGATTTTGTCAAGAGTCTCAAGAGGATCAGCAGACCAGATATTCGTAGTTAGAATGCAATATCGATTGTCACGGAGCAGCAAGACATTTTGCCACAGAGGAATCGAGTCTGCTTGAAACAGAAGTTGAAAGAGCAGGTAATCTTTTAATCTAGGTTTCAAATTTTCAATTTAATCGCAAACACGTTACTCTTACCTAGCGACAAACAAGTTGTGTCTATACAGTCTTCCAAAATTCCGATTACACTTATTGATTTGGATTCGATATTCCAGTCAAATAGTTCGTAATTGAGATTCAAGTCCACCTTCAGTGGAACTCATATATGTGATATTCTGTTTAAGGCGCTGGAAAAAAAAATGGTTTGTTCATTTTAACGCTCCAATAAGTACCTGACTCCTACAGCTATACTCTATGTTTACAAGAGTCGTATCAGATGAAAAATGAAATACTGTTGCCATATCTGGGCTGGAGCTGCCCAGTCCTTACTTTCCTGTCTTGATAGAGTTCAAATGCGTCTACGCGGCCTTGTGGGTGATTAATTAATTTCCATCATACAACGCGTTTCCAATGCAGTAAACGATTCGAGATTCCCCCTACTCTAACGCTGCATGCATGGCATGTGTCCTGAGGAGCTACATTGCTAGGTTCCATCATCCCTGACCTTTGCAAATTGGCCTACGTACACAGAGTGTGAAAGAGATACACTCGGAGAGCTATATTTCCAAGACACGCTGTGGAACGGACCCTCGGCAGGATCTCTCTATATTTCTGAGATGAGGTATTATGTACATTATTTACATTATTCGGACTAATGCCCTCATCTTTGTCGTCATATTTATTACAACGTCTCGGCCCTTCAGTATCTGTCAATATTTCTGAGATAAGGTATTATGTACACTATTTACATTATTTGTACTATTGTCTTCATCTTTGTCGCCATATTTATTATAACGTTTCGACCTTTCAATATCTGTCTATATTTCTGAGATGAGGTATTATGTACACTATTTACATTTATTTGGACTATTGTCCTCATCTTTGTCGCCATATTTATTACGTTTCGGCTCAGTGGATAAAGGCGTTAGTTAGATCCAGTGACAGGATAAACAGATGCACCATTAAAATCTGTATCTGTTTATATTTCTGAGATGAGGTATTATGTACATGTTTAATGCGCCATGTTTAATGGATGTCAGTTATCTCCTGTTAATTCCCCTTTCCAAGATCAACATTGCCTTGGCCGAGTATTGAACTCACACTCTTTGGGTCCTGTCACTGGATCAAACTAACGCCTTTATCCACTGAGCCATGTGTCCTCAAGGATATGGCACGTGGAACTAGAACAGTCTACCCCAGTGAGCGAAATAAAGAGTTCAGTTCGACATTCCAACCACCTGAAGAAGGCCGGAGCGTACAACGGCCGAAACGTTGTAATAAATATGGCGACAAAGATGAGGACAATAGTCCGAATAATCTAAATAAACTAAAATCTACCTTGAGCGTCTCTTGTGCCGTGTAATGGATGAAATGTTTGAAGAAGATTGTAGGTTTCAGGGAAGTTAAGCAACGTCAGCCCTGGTGAGCGCTTAAAAGGGTGACATCTATATAAAAATAGATGTAGCTTCGTCTCTAAAGATACGCCATTGAAAAAAGTTTAGACTGCTAAATTCAGATACGTTAAAGCAGTTGTTATTAAAATGAAAATGGAAGCAAACATGGCCGCCATGATTACTATCAAAACACCCACTGTCTTATTTTCCACGACTATAGAAACACCCTACGTATTATTCCCACCACGATTAAACATTTTATGAATTTTTATTCGTTTTCCTAATACTTTTTTACGCACTAATCTTAATATTTTACTAGTTGTTTTTATTTTCGTTGATTCATTTGTTTCTTTAAGTCATTTTCTTTCTTTTATTGGAATTGTCTGTCGCGTTTTTTTTTCTCTCTGCTTTTTCTTATGCATTTTGTTCGGATTTTGTCTTGGAAGTAAGTTTCTTTTTTTTTTTTTTTTCTCTCTCTCTCTCTTTTCTTCGTCACATAAAAGATGGAAGACTCGTCGCCACCGTTCTTTGACTGTTTCTGTTTTAAAGAGTTTTTGGCTTTTATTTAAACATTTTTTTCGTCTTTACAGAGGCTTATAATCTGTCTGCTGTCGTATGATTTATTCTGATTTGATAATCGCGGATGCAGTCCACCGGAGGGCGCTGCGCACACAAGCAAGTCTGTTTCTGTGGAAATCCTATTTATATTAAGACGCAAACGCACACGTCTTTTCGGCTATAGGAGCGTACACACCCACACAGACAGACACATAAACACACGCCACACGCACAAACATAAACACGCATGCGCAAAGATTCAAAGATTTTACAAGCATAAACAACCACACAAACATATTTATACATAACATAGTCAATAAAAACAGATTTATAAGCCTGCACAAACATCCACATATACGTCTTCTTTTATGTGTCGTGTTCCTTCAGCAATGCAGGCGATCATGGCTCTCCACATCTTCCTGTCCCTTGTAGCTTTGTTTTTTTTGTTATTTCTCCAAAACCCTGTTCCACCATCCATTTACTCAAGCCCATCAAGAATGATTCACGCTGCTTTTTTCTGTCACTCTTTCCCTCAACTTGTCCTGTGAGTATCAGATTTTCCAAGCCGTCCTTTCTCATTACGTACTCCAGAAATTTCAACTGCGTCTTACTGATGTCCAAGTTTCCTTATTGTTTTGATTTTCTCCAAAACCTCGTCAATGTTCACACGTTAGATATATACACACGTATACACACAGAAAAGTCAAAAAGAAGGATTTTACAAGCACACGTAAATACACGCACACACATGTATCTAAAAAAATCTTAGTCCTTTCCCGTCATAGGCGATTATGAATCTACACTACTCACGTTTGCTTTTTAGCACTTTTTCTCCTTTCATTCTCACTGTGCCCTCCATTCTACCATCCATACGCACAGGCCCTTCATCTCTCTCTCTCTTGCTCCCCGTGAGTTTTAGATTTTCCAAGCCATCTTTCCTCATTATGTGTTCAAGGGATTACGACTGTCTTTTTAGACATGTTTCGACAATGAACCGATATCATCAGACAAAAAATATCCCAAGTACAAGACCATCATTCTTCCTCATCTATGTTCCGCATCCCTTCAAGACAGGTAATCATGGCTCTCCACAACTTCCTATCTCTTGTGACTCTTAGCAGTTTTTCTTCTTTTCTTAACCAGTCCACCAGTTTTGTTACCCATTCACACAAGCCTCTCACTTAAGTGGATCGCTGCCTTTCCCTGTCTCTCTTGCCCTCAATACCCCCCATGCGTGTTAGATTTTCCAAGCCTTCTTTCCTCATTATATGTTCAAGGAATTTCGCCTGTCTTTTCCTGATTATGAGTAGAAGAGTTGCCATTTTCTTTCCTGTTTAATCGCTCCGTCCAGAATTCTTCTGGATAATCACATTTTTGTTACTTCTGGTTTTATCTAGAGATTATCCAGCATTCAATGCCATATAAACACACTTTTCTTTGTTTCTAACGAAAACTTACCGTTTCTCCACGCCTTTCTTAGCTTTTGGAATTTCGCTATTCTAACGGGTGTTGCATTTTCAGACCTCTTTTAGAACGCTTCCAACTTCTACAATTGCTTGATGCTTATATCTCCAATTCGTAATTTTCATCTTAAGATTTTTCTCTTGCTGATAACCATAATTTCTTTCTTCTTTCAATTGATAGTCCTTTCTTGGCGCTTTCTTTAACCACTCTTGCGGTTTCCTTTGCAAATCAACCAACAGAGTGTCATCTAAATATCTAAGTAACATATTCACTTCTACGTCTTTTTAGTCGAAACCCTTCATGACGTTGGCGATATCCTCTCATTTGTTGCTCTAAGTAACATTACTTTTATGTACTGACTCCCTTCAAGGCATTGGTAATTAAGGCTCTCCACAACATCCTCTCTTTTGTTGTTCTGAGTACCATTTGAATCATTACCATAACTATTTGACCCTGCTCTGCTCTCCATTCACTATTTTTTATATACCGATTCCCTTCAAGTCATTGTTGTTCATAGCTCTCCACAACATCCACACTTTTGTTTTTCTAAATAACATTTGTATCTTTACCATTTCTCTTTCTAATTGACTTATCTATTGAATTCTACGATTTTTTGAGTAGAAACCCTACATGACGTTGACGATCATGGTCCTCCACAACATCCTCTCTTTTGTTGTTCTGAGTATTATTTGAGTCATTACTATCACTATTTTTCCCTGTTCTACTACCCATTCACTATTTATATATATACCGATTCACTTCAAGACATTGGTGTTCATAGCTCTCCACGACATCCTCTCTTTTGTTTTTCTAAATAACATTTGTACCTTTACCACCCCTCTTTCTAATTGATCTATTTACTTCTACGTTTTTTTAGTCGAAACACTTCAAGTCATTGGCGATCATAGCTCTCCCCAACATCCTCTCTTTTATTCTCCTCAGTAGCATTTGAAACATTGCCATCAATATTTGTTCCTCTGTCCTTGGTATGACGATAAACTACATCCGGCAGCAAAGCCTCTAGTTAGTCGGTTTTGAGGAGAGTCGAACAATCTTTTAATTGCAGTTGTTCTCAGGTAAACTCTGATCTGGGGTGGTAGCACCTGTTAGGGTCCGAGCTATGGGCAAATAGTGAGCCCCCAAATTGAGGTAAAAACACTATGAAATTATAAAAATAGATTTTTATAGTAAAAATACCAGTAATATATTTTTGCAAAAAACAAAAAAACAAAAAAAAACACACAAACAAAAAAATAATAATTATTACCAGAAATACATTTGACTCTCGACTGTTATATCATGGCTCACCACAAAATTCTCTCTTTTGTTGTTCTGAGTATCATTTGAGTCATTACCATAACTATTTTTCCTATGAACACTATTGTAAGTGGGGGTAAATATGCTGTCTAAGTAGTCCACCACTAGAAGTGGTTTACCAACTTCCCGCTGCTGGTGAGTATTGTATTTTATTGACATTATAAAGATTATCATTTCATTTCCAACTTCCATTTTGGTTATTCTTCATTCAGTAACCTTTTCTAGGTTACAACAAAAATGCATTGGCCAATGATTTTTACTATGAAAATACATTGGAAATGATTTTTTACTATGAAAATGCATTGGAAATGATTTTTTACTATGAAAATGCATTGGAAATGATTTTTTACTATGAAAATGCATTGGAAATGATTTTTACTATGAAAATGCATTGGAAATGATTTTTACTATGAAAATGCATTGGCCAATGATTTTTACTATGAAAATGCATTGGAAATGATTTTTACTATGAAAATGCATTGGCCAATGATTTTTACTATGAAAATGCATTGGAAATGATTTTTTACTATGAAAATGCATTGGAAATGATTTTTTACTATGAAAATGCATTGAAAATGATTTTTACTATGAAAATGCATTGACGAATGATTTTTACTATGAAAATGCATTGGAAATTATTTTTACTATGAAAATGCATTGGAAATGATTTTTACTATGAAAATACATTGGAAATGATTTTTACTATGAAAATGCATTGGAAATGATTTTTTACTATGAAAATGCATTGGAAATTATTTTTACTATGAAAATGCATTGGAAAGGATTTTTACTATGAAAATGCATTGGAAAAATTTTTTACTATGAAAATGCATTGAAATGATTTTTACTATGAAAATACATTGAAATGATTTTTTACTATGAAAATGCATTGGAAATTATTTTTACTATGAAAATGCATTGGAAAGGATTTTTACTATGAAAATGCATTGGAAAGGATTTTTACTATGAAAATGCATTGGAAATGATTTTTACTATGAAAATACATTGGAAATGATTTTTTACTATGAAAATGCATTGGAAATTATTTTTACTATGAAAATGCGTTGGAAAGGATTTTTACTATGAAAATGCATTGGAAATGATTTTTACTATGAAAATGCATTGGCCAATGATTTTTACTATGAAAATGCACTGGAAAGGATTTTTACTATGAAAATGCATTGGAAATGATTTTTACAATGAAAATGCATTGGAAAGGATTTTTACTATGAAAATGCATTGGAAATGATTTTTACTATGAAAATGCATTGAAAATGATTTTTACAATGGAAATGCATTGGAAATGGTTTTTATCATGAAAATGCATTGGAAATGATTTTTACTATGAAAATGCATTGGAAAGGATTTTTACTATGAAAATGCATTGGAAATGAATTTTACTATGAAAATGCATTGGAAAGGATTTTTACTATGAAAATGCATTGGAAATGATTTTTACTATGAAAATGCATTGAAAATGATTTTTTACTATGAAAATGCATTGGAAATGATTTTTACAATGGAAATGCATTGGAAATGATTTTTATTATAAAAATGCATTGGAAATGACTTTTACTATGAAAATGCATTGGAAATGATTTTTTACTATTAAAATGCATTGCAACTGATTTTTACTATTGTTATATACCGTACCTATGAACACTATTGAGTATGTCCCAATCCTCATAAATACGTTGGACACTATTGTAAGTGGGGGTAATATGCTGTTTAAGTAGTCCATCATTGGCAGTGGTTTACCTACTTCAAGCTGCCGGCGAGTATTGTATTTTGTTGACGTTATAAAGTTTAGCATTTCATTTCCAACTTCAGTTTTGGTTATTCCTCATTCAGTAACCTTTTCTAGGTTACAACATCGACAAAGACCCTCTTTACAAAAATACGTCAATGAAACCTGATCTACAAACTAATTTCTTACAAAGAATACATATTCTATTCATACGAATCTATCCTGAAAATCTTATAGGCGTTAAATAACCCATTAAGAGGTTGACATGCCGTAAAACAAACCAAACTTTTTCCTTGTTCTGACATAAATTCACTATTTTTATGTACAGACTCCCTTCAAGACGTTGGTGATAATGACTCTCCACAACATCCTCTTTTTTGTTGTTCTAAGTAACATTTGAGCCACTACCATCCCTATAAGTCCCCTTTCTGACATCCGTTAACTAT